GAGTGACTTTCCAGAAATTTCACTGTTGGGCATTTTCCGCTCCTCGATTTGGCGTTCAATTCGTTCAAAAGCTTAAGCAGACCACCTGAGGAATCAATAACGCAGCTAGAGGCACAACACGAATGTAAGAGCGGCATGGTTGACGCCCCTTATCACCTGACCGTCCAGTTTTGCGGTCTTCGCCCCTTTCCCAGGCGCTGAGAAGATGCGCATACTTGACTCTCAAGATCGCCTCGCTGTGCTTGGCATTGAGCATGATAATATAACAGATGCAAGTCTACGTAGACCGCAGGCTTCTTTCCGAGCAGGCGAACATGAAAACGCGCTATCAAATATTATGGCGAGCGAGGTTGCATTGTCCCCTCGGTTAATTAGTGGGCACTGGGTTGTATGATAGACTTGACCGGGTGGAGAAACGTACAATGGCACGTAACTCAGCAGTAGAAGAGAAGAATGGCATGAGGTTCGAGAGCGTGGATAAGCAGGAAAAGGCGGCCAGTATGGTCGAATGATTGCTTCTCTCAGATGGACAACTTACCCTGCATTATGGACGAGTCGAGAATTGAACTCGGGGCCTTCTGCATGCGAAGCAGACATGATAACTCTATTCAACTCAAATTCCCGAAGATTTCCACTATTTGTGTGCTACATGACCTGGTTTTCTCGAAGCCGCTCTCCGTCCGACCGTCAGGCGTTGCCTGACAGGCGACGAGTCAACTACCTTTCGTGACGAAAGACGGAAGTTTCGTCTACTATCCAACATCGTTGAACAGCTCGCTTTCGAATAATCCGTATAACTGCGTTATCATACCATATCGTTATCATAGGGTTATCTTATCACTATAGTCGAGGGATTCGATCGATTCGCCCATGATCAGAGGTCGGAATCGAGACCCGAGAACTCGAGATTCTCGATCTCGTCTCGATCTCGAAGAGTTTCGAGACGAGATCGAGAGGTTTTCTCAGGAATCAAGATCGAGACGAGAATCGAACGAGTTCTCGAACTTCTCGAACTTTTGTATGCGTTGGTAGGCATGGTTTGAGCCGGAGGTCAGGAATATCGATATAACACCACTCTGATCTTAAATGACCCACATTGAATGACTATTCTTATTTCCATAAGATAGAATCTTTATGCTCAGCAAAAAGGCTTCCCACTGCGTGCCGGTTGTAGGGAAAGGTTTGTTCTCGCCAATGCGGCAGATCCTTCTGAAATCGGTTCCAGGCGTTTTCTAGATTTCGGATCGGGTATTCTTCGGAATAATTTCTTCCTGCCCTCCAACAAAGGCGCGAACCTCGCTGCATCTAGCTTTTTACCCCCTTGGGGCCTGCCTTGCTTCCAGTCAGCGAATGAGAACTTTCTCTTTTTGGCGACCGGGCTCTTAGGACCATCCCCAGCATGATCAGTCATCACAGCACTGTCTTCAATGGAGCTTGACGACGATTCGATTCGTGGAGAGCCGCTCGTCGAAGTCACTTTACAGACTGAATCAGAGGGAGAGACGAATTACGAGCAAACTCAACCCGGATAGTGAAAACACTTTCATATGTTTTGGAAATTTGGCGAGTTCGGCCGCACCTGCAAAGGCGCGCTCGCCCGATTCGAGAATCGAGAACGAGATCGAGATGACGAGAAAATCCTCCGAGATCCCACGATCGAGAATTATTGACGCGGAACATACATCGAGACGAGATCGAGATATCTCGAAGCAGCGTTTTCCGACCTCTGCCCATGATAATCATGAATATGCTAAATCACAGACGGTTCATCAAATAGTTCAGAATTATTATTAATTCTTACTCATTATTCATAGAGTTATTAATTTAGAATTATTGATTCTTGATCGCGCGTCCTACGACCGATCCTTTCACCCACAAACTGTAAAATAACAAGAAATGTCGCACTGCGGCAGTATGAGACGATATTGGACCAGAATCCGTTCTATTGTGAACGGCAGCAGAATTGGGGTGAAATTTATACAAGTTAAAAACAAAACTTTCGACCGCATCGTCGCGTTGGTGTCTCATTCTGAATGATGAATGTCGAACGAGACGGTAACGCACGGCTCAATAATTCCGACAATTGCAAATACTGTAATGCAAAAGTTCATCATTATCAACATCAACATAGATGCCCGCAACAGCCAGAGTTCACACAGTCATCACAACAGCTTCATCACTGGACTCGGCGTCCTTCAGCGTCTGGACGGAACCTACATGAGAGACAAGACTCCATCGCACATCGTGATAGGAACTCTTAAGTAGAAGTGTATGAACGTTCCAAATCTCAGACCATGATCAATGCCCGTACACCCAAAGCATCACTTACTGATCTCAGGCCCGCGGTATACCATATGGGCACTCTCATGTGGTTGATAAAATGAAGTCGAACTGTTGCCAGCTGCCCGTCGAATGATGGGATAGGATACATCCCCGGATATGCCACAATCTCGCTCGCCTCGCACAATCTGAAACGGCGGGCTCAAATCAGTGGTATTTTCAATGACACAAAGAATCAGTGTTGGAATATATGTTCGCTATCCTCAGAATTTCCATAGAAATTCGTGTAGAAATATACAGAAACCACCGAAAATTTCCTCGGAACTTCTATATTGTCACCAACACATATGGTTAACTATGTGCATATTTTCCCCCTCACACTGCAACGAATACCCACCTTGAAGTATCCCTCATCTCCCCAGTTAGTGCTCCAACTGTTACGCAGGAGCCAGTAGTCGAGGCCAGAGGACGGGTCTGTGCCGTAGCCGACCAAATTGACCTACATTGAAAGTGATTCCGATAATACACAAAATGTACCCACCGCGTGGTCAGTCTCTCGAACGGCCTTGCATGCAGGATCATTAATGACGCCTCCACGGTAGAAAGTCGTCTGAGAAAGAACACTACAACAAGACACCATGTGCGATGAAACCAACCTGATCGGTGACCAGGAAGGAGACAGCGAGTAGACCATTGTTAACAAGGGCTCGTTTTATGGTTTCCTCATCAGCTCCTCCGGGTAGCTGTACCCACCCATCTATCTGTATTCCAGACATGGAATTTATGTGCCTAAAATTGGTCAATAGAACGCAATCAGCAACTAACAGTTGGTGTGCGTGAGTAAAGTGATCCGAAGTACTATGGAAAGTGATATCCATCGATCGAATGAGCGATAGGATCACAAAACGACGACAACGATCGCGTGTTGTTGCGGTCATCTCAATTAGGAACAGAAGCTCCTAGCACAGAATTCGGTGAAGCGAGCGCCCATGGATCATCGCCTCGCCTCCCCAGGGGATACCACCACAAGTGTTATTCTCACTTGCAATATGACGAGGCCGACAGATACTTGCCGTATTCCGAAGTCAAAGGTACAAAGCCTTGAAAACTATCCAGAAGCGTTGCTCCAGTGAGCTCAGAGTTTCCACCTAGACAGGCGCCGTTGACCTCATTCCAGGTGCCTGAGCAGAACTAGGATGTAATAAGAGCAGTGTTGGAATATAATGAAATATGTGTTGGATATTTAATATATATGACTATAATAACTATAATATATATATGTGTGTATAATATAATATAATATGTGTTGGAATATTCGTGTTCCTCAGCTGAGCTCAGGAGCTTCCTCACTAGTCATAGAATTTAACACACCACTTTGGGTAAGAGTGCTCGGAAACCAATAGGAATTTCGGGAATTTAATCAGAATTTCCACGTTGTCACCAATATATGTAGTTGACTATATTCTCCCCCCACACCGAAATAGAGTGTTCCCAGCACCCACAGTCGAGCAAGAACTGCTCAGCTAATTTCTCCCCAGCTCCATTGACGATCTTGTGCCTCGATTCAATAGCCCCTATTGTGGCGAAAGCCCAACAACTGCCACAGGTGCCTTGATCCTACAAACGACCCGAGTTCGACTCCCACACCCTGCATTATTCTCACCTTTATTGGCGGGCTCGCACCATGGTCTCTCCAGTCCCACCTAAGCAAACGGGACAGTACTATGTGGCCCTTATTTCATCCAAATCAGAAATTTCTGAGGAACTGGGAAAATATGCTCATGGTCAACTACATGTGTTAATGGTGGTTCGGAAATTATGAGAAAATTTTCGAATTTCTCATTGATCGCTGTACACTTCTATTCGAGCTCGTATGCTAAGCTCAGCTGAGCCCTCCTGAGCTCAGCTGAGGAAAACGAATATACTCCTCCAACACTGCGCTAAAGTCAATTGAGTTCTACGAGCGTGCAAAGACCGACTCACCTCTCTGGTAGAGGCTCACTAGCTGGTAGTAGATTCCACCTAGATGGATGGGAATGCGATCTTGGCCCGTTACGAGCCCGATGACCTAAAGTGGGGTCCTATCAGCACGATTAGCAAGTAATGGATGTTACCTTTAGGAGGCTGGTTGAGACCGTCAGCAAAGCTATTGACCTCCAACCTAACCCCATTGTTGGCCTCATTGACACGGTCTATGTAGGCAAGATTAGCGCGGAAGCGCTTCTCATACGCTGAATCTGAACACCAACAATAGTTAATTATCACATATACATATCTGATGGTTACACAAACATGGTTTGAGATTCACTAGAGTTTCACCCTGGTGAAAAACATATTTCACAACTACTGCATATCACCGCGAATATCGTGTTCTTCACCGAGTTTCATTTCACGTAAAATGAATGATACTCCAATGGATATCCACAGGAATAAAGTAGAGAAAATGTGTAATACAGAAATGCACTATGCATCCGAAAATTTCAGTCCGAAACTTATTAATTTCAAAGACTTCTAGTCATGAACAGTTCCGCACATCTTTTTCACTTCAAGTTGAGAAATCGGACCTTCAAATGCTCGACAATGAAATTTAAATTGCGATCCCACTATTTCAACTCGAAAGTAGATTGCGCGTAGAGTAACTACATCTTATTATTCGTATAGGTTACCATAACAGGGTTAATCTCATCCATAGCAAATCTATATTTCCAGTATGGATATATCTTCATTGTATAACTCCGTGTAGGAATATATGCACATCGTCTACCACATGTGTTGCTGACAATATAGAAATTCTGAGAAATTATCGTTAATTTTTGTGTGCTTCTACTCAAAATGGTGTGGATTTTCATCATATAGCGAGGAAACTTACGAGCTCAGTTCAGGAAACATATATTCCCACACTGTAATACCTATGTACTATATAAAACTATACTATATACTTACTATAGTGCTATATATACTACTAGGACTTGCACTATAGTGATAAATATATACTACTAGGACTTGCACTATAGTACTATACATACTACTAGGACTTGCACTATAGTACTATACATACTACTAGGACTTGCACTATAGTGATAAATATATACTACTAGGACTTGCACTATAGTACTATACATACTACTAGTACCATATAGTGCCATATAGTAATCGCACTTACTATATACTCAGTATTATATACTCACTAGTACAACTATATCAGTATAACTATAATCCAATATAATACCAAACATCAGGCATAAAGAAAGTCACGCCTTACCGTCGTCCGCATATGATCGACGATGAAGTGCTTTGAAGGCAGCAAACTCATTAGATGCTCCCAGAGACGAACGAGCGTTGCGACCAAAGTGATTAAATACATCGTTGCCTCCCACAGATTGTCGTCGTGGTGGTGGAGGGGTGTCCGATCGTGGAACAGCGTCAACCTAAAGCGAGATACAAAACAACGACAGCGCTGAGTATGCATATCTTCTTGTGATTAGCACGTGGCTTGTCGCATTCGGGAGGCGTAGCGAAGCTCCTATACAGAGGATAACAACTTTACTCGAAGAGGATCCACATACTTCTCATTGTCATGGTCTCCAATAGTGTTCACTGCGAGATAGTCGACCACATAATCATCCAAATGGGCGCTGATAATTTCATTTCGTGCATGCATACTCCA